AAATCTCGATGATGTCCGCATCACTCTGCTTTGGGTATGATTGCTACATAAACTTACAATTGATTAGTTTAAGTGACAGGATATATTATCTTGTATTCATTTAAGAATTCTCTACTTTTTACAAAAACAAGTGTCATCCCGTTCATTATGCAGCAAAAACATTATTTTTGCTGTCTGCTTGTTCTCCTCACATTTCCACTCTAAGATATAAAATCTTAAAGAAAATGGTTGCTTATCCATGCATTTGAGAGCTATAGAATTCATATTGAGTACATTTTATGTAGATGTTTGCAGATTTCTTTGTTCATCCGTTTCCTTCAAGATATACATGTTTTCCATTGACCTTAGATTTACCCTTCTGACTAAAGGCCCTTGTTGATCAAGGAAATAGTGAATCTCATATCACCAGAAAGTTGTGGATTAACACTTCGTCTTGTTGTCGGATGAGTGGAGTCTAATTGTACAATACACTATTATCTGACCAGGGGAATATTTTCAAGTATTATACGAGTACTTTGGGAAGTTCACACATATAATAGGTTGTCCTAATATTTCCTCCTATGAAAAGGGTATTAGGTCTGAGCCTCTTTTTGTTGAGTAGAGAGAACAAAGAAGAGAGGTCTGAGTTCACATAACATATTGTAATCCTTTTTCTTCAACTTTGTGAAACTCTGCAACGGCAAGTGGAACATAGGCTAGCTCTCGCATTGGCGGTGAACCACTATAATTTTTGAGTTCTTGCTTTCAATTTTTTCTTTTGTTGTTATGTTGCTTTTGGTAGTACAGGATTAGGGATTAATCCATATCACACGTGCTTTGTTGGCAACGGGTAATTATTATTTTTTAAATTTATGTACTGTGTCGAATTCAGATTGTTTATTGCCTGATTTTCATTGAAGTGTGCCTATTACACCGCACCTTATATACAAAGAGTTTGAAATTGGAAATTGCGCCTTTCGAAAAAATGAAGTTTAGCTGGTATGCTTTGTTGTAACTGCCAATCTTGCTAGGTTGCTCTGACCATTTACACCTATAAGTTGTGGTCCATTTAGTATTGATGCACAACATTTTTATAGTTCCAGGAGTGTTAGTTTTTTTGGCTGATTGTCACAGAGAATACGAAGGTTTAAGTTATTGTTCCAATTCAAATTTTTTAACAATTCATCACAGATGGTGCCAAAGGGTTCACCCATGTACTAAATTTTTTAGTAGGAAGTTAATAACCGACAGAAAATCACATATTATAACGCATTGGAACTAGAAATCTAACAAATCAAGAACACATGCAATGCTTGTGCCTTTAGATTCTATGAAAGTTCATTTTCCCTGCTTTTCACGTCAAATTGAGAGCTCATTTACTGTACAGTAACTTTGGTTTTGATGAGCAAATAATCCCCAGATGATTTAATGTTTTATCTTTTCACGAATTGCATTCGGCATCACTCAAAAAAATTATCCATTCCCTACCAGGATGGAGATGGAAGCAGATCACATTGGACTTATGCTCATGGCTTCTGCTGGGTATGATCCTCGATTGGCTCCCCAAGTCTACGAGAAGTTGGGAAGAATCTCGGGTGACTCAGCTTTGAGGGATTATCTTTCCACCCATCCTTCTGGAAAGAAGAGATCTCAAATGTTGGCTCAGGCTAAAGTCATGGAAGAGGCACTCGAGTTATACAGGGAGGTACAGGTGGGACGAGGGATTGAGGGTTTTCTTTAGAGGAATGAGCCATGCAACTTGGCAGTACCTCTGCACCCTTAAAGCTCAAGTAATTGATGGTAATTAAAGAAAACAATATCTGATGATGGGTTGGGTGTGTGGGGAAGGTGTTATTTAATTTTTCTTTTTCTTATATCATCTACATTAATCTTTTTTCTTTGCATTAATAACGTGAAGTCAACATTGTCTTTTTATCAAGTTAAAGCTCGTTTGGAGATGATGTAAAATAAAGAACCATTGTGCTATGTGAATTCAAATAAAAATAAAATATTTTGTTTCCTTTTTACATTCTCTGTTGATCATGACTGAAAGCAAAAGAATACAAGATGGCTTATTAGTTAGG